CTACAGTCTTGATTTTGAAGTCTGCAGGAATGACTTGAGATTTAAGTAAGTCTTTGGTGCCTGTGAACAGAATGCCAAGGACAAAGACATAAACAAAACGAGCTTCAACAATACCCTTTGAAATGTCTTTGTTGTCCTGCTGCCACAAAGACAGCACATTTCCAATGGCCGCCCTGTAGCAATAGATGCCCAGCAGCCCAAGCGCCAAGGCCACCTTGGACACGGGGGAGCACCCTCTCTGAATCAACACGAAAATCACAAGGAGGGAAAGGGCAGCCAAAACAGAGAGCTCAGCTTTGTGATCAGAGCTGGTAAGCCAGTGGCCAAGGTCAGGCCGGTGGGCCCACTGCAAGCCTGTCTGGTTTAGCGACCACAGCAGCCGGCAGCAGGTCAGTATCAGCCACGGACTTGCCAGCACCATCCACTTGTCCTGGCCTCTCAGCACTTCACGGGGAGAGGGGCTCTCACAGTCTTTGTTGTGCCTGGATGCCTTGCAGCCTGTCCTATCTTGCAACGCTGGGATCGTGCCATCAAGACCTTGCCCAACGTGGAAGCAACACTGAGGCTCATAGTCATCTTGCAGAAAGTAGTTTCTATAGATTTCTTGACTCAGGACTAGACACAGGGTGTTAACAAGGAAGTACCAGGTCTGGTGCTCCTCCTCCACGAAGCTGCTGGCACCCAGACTCAAGACGTGGCCTACCGTCCCTAACAAAATAAGAAGGTCTAACTCTGACCACCTTGAGTTGGAATGATCTGGATTCTGTAAAAAGGAAAATGTATTTTGTAAGGAATAATCTGAAAACTATACACATCTTGCTGCATGTTCTTAAAGTCCTTGCTTACAACAAATCATCCCCCATGACAGACACCTGTGTTCCCCATGCCCAGCACCTACTTCCCTAACCTGGATCAGCCCCCTCTACTTCAGTGGGATGACCCTTCCTCCTGGGACACAGACTGGGGGTGTCAAGACACCTCGCCCCAGCCAGGGGGCATGGACAGTGTGGTCATCAGCTGTCCCCACCCTGGACTGCAAGTCCCAGGCTGAGTGGCAAAGAAGCTGAAAATGGCTAGAACCCTCTGGGTAGTGCTGGAACCCAAAAAGCTCGCCTGGCAGCTTCTGGCACTGACCCTTCATGCACCCGTTCCACGTCCTTGTGAAGCCTGGGTCTTCAGTCAGCTACAGCTAGTTCTGCTGCTTGAAACCAAAGAACCCTGATGACACATTCCACCAAACCAGACATCTAATTTCTCCATGAACTTTCTAGAAATCCAGTTTCCAATAAAATGGTTAATTCTGTTGAAATGACAAAATTGGCATCAAGCACTATCCCTTAAATACATTAACTTATAACATTTAAAATGAAAGATGAGGACTCTAATACTGTCATGTACTCTTTGATAACCATGTGTGCTGTGCAGCTCGGTACAGCAGAGAGGGAGACACCATGAGCCCAGCCAGGCCCTGGGGGTGCAGATGTGCATGAAGTCAAGCCCGATGATGACACAGGCAGCACCTCAGACATACAGGAAAGGGCCTCTGATTGTCCTGATGGGGCAGGCAGATGGGAAGCTGCACAGGGTGAGGTTCCAGTGTGTCCTGGAGTCACTGCAGTGGGTCTCTTGATAGTGGGCACTGTGGGCCTGACTGCAACTGTCCACCCATTCCACACCACCCACCACCACCACCAAGTAATGAATGAAGGTGTCGGGGGACAAAGACTCTTAACAACTCCTATGGAAAATGTCAGCTATGAAAAGACAACTGCGATAACATGAATGGCCAAAGAAACCAGAAACACCAGATAAAAGAGCATAGAAAATACAGGGGACGACAGCGGAACCTCCAGCTCAGCCTTTCTGCACAGTGCCTGTGGGATGCTGAGAAGCAGCAGGGTGAGAACCTCCAAAACCACGACAGTCCCCGCAAGCATGGAGTAGAGGTCATACTGGGCCACTTGTGTGCTCAGGGACAGACTCAGGGTCTTCAGAGCATCCAGGTACTGCCTGAGAACCTTGGTCCCCAGATTGAAAAGGACTTCTGAATGATTTTCCTGCAAGTACAGTTTAATCCAGTTCCCATGCAACCGTTCTGACATTTTAAACTGCTCATATCCAGGATCTTTTTCATATGATGGTACGTTCTCTTGCAACAATTTGCTAAGCTGCACTGTATTTAACTGTAAAAATCTCAACTGTTCTCTCATTGGTTTTCCTTCTACAACTGGGAATAAAAGACTCCCTACACTGTCTTTTGGAATCGGCATACCAAGTCCTACTGCTAGTGTTGCAGCCAAATCAGTCTGTTGGACGTGCTTTGGATGTCGGAGGTCACCAGGTTTCCTTTCAAATGCAGAACTGATTAAAATCAGAGGTGTGTTCACTTCCCCTATGGAAGAGGCCCCATGACTTCCTGTTTCAGACATGCCATGATCACCACAAAGAACCAGCAGATTGGGCAAAACAGTGTCTCTCTCCTTGGAGAGCAGTGAGGTATGGATCTTCATCAGGACACTGTCCATCTCGCTGAGCTTGCG